AACTTTTTTATTAAAGTTTAAATTAACAAATATATATTTTAATAATAATAATATAGTAGTATACTAAAAAGAAAATGATATATTTTTTAAATAAAAAATATCTCTTTTAGACATATTATTGATTAGAAGTTTTATACTGATCTTAATAATGAATCATTAAAAATTTTTATACTAATCCTAATAATGAATCATTTGGATTACTATTACTAAGAATTTTATTGAATATAATATTAATCTTAATTTAACTTTACTAGTATATTTAAAAATATATTATAATATTTTGTGAATACTTAATACTAGTTTTAGATTAATGTTAGCTTATTATTTCCGAAGTTAAAATTTATTATGTGAGTTTATATATAGATTATTCCTTATTTTAACTAGTTTTAACCTTTAACTATTATTGTATATGTTCATTTAATTATAATTTCTTTAAATATTCAAATTTATATTATTTTCTTTATTTTATTTAATACTAAAGTAATAAGATTTACTATAATATGTATACTAGTATTCTGCAAAATCAAATTAAATCAGATTTTATTCAAATTTAATCTGATTTAATTTAGATCTGAAAAGTTTTATTGAAAAATAATTTTTCAGTAATCTGAAAAGTTATTTCTTTTTAATAAAAGAAACCTATTTAACTTTAAAAGAGATTTGAAAAGTCACTCCTTTTCAATAAAAAAAACCTTTTTAGTTTCAAAAAAAAAATCTAAAAATTTCATTTTTTTCAATGAAAAAAACAGATTTTCAATTTTAAAAAAAGTCTAAAAAATTGTTCTTTTCAATGAAAAATATAGAATTTTAGCTTTAAAAGAGTCTAAAAAATCATTCCATTTTAATGAAAAAAATTTTTCAATTCTAAAAAAAGTTTAAAAATTTGTTCTTTTCAATAAAAAAAACTTTTTCAGATTTAAAAAAGATCTGAAAAATTGCTTTTTTTTAATAAAAGAAATCTTTTAGCTTTAAAGAAGATCTGAAAAATCACTTTTTTTAATAAAAGAAATCTTTTTAGTTTTAAAAGAGATTTGAAAATTTATTCCTTTTTAATGAAAGAAACTTTTCAACTCTAAAAAAATTAAATTAGATTTGACAGATTAGATTTGAATCTGAATTTGAATCTAATAAATTAGATTTGAATCTAAATTTGAATCTAATGAATTAGATTTGAATCTAAATTTGAATCTAATGAATTAGATTTGAATCTAAATTCAAATCTGACAGATCAGATTTGATCTGAATTTGATAAATCTAATTTGAATCTAATTTGTTAAATTTGAATTAGATCTAGATCAATCCAAATCTGTATGAAACATTAATATATATTATTATAATTTATTAATTAGTTTTATATAGTTTTACATATTACAGTAGTAATTATAAGTATCTGATCGCTTTTAACTCTGACTACAAATAAGTAAATTCAAAATTTTTTTTATTTAAAAAATATATAACCAACTAATTAAAATTAATACATTATGTAATCATCATCTGACTCTATAAGTGCAGCTATACGCCTTTTTATGTTAGCTACTAAATTTGTGACAAGTACAGATAATAATCAGTTCTATTCTTTTGTAAGTTCCCTCTTTAATCCTTTAATTGATCAAATTTTTTTTTATATATTAATTTTTATTATTCTTCAAACGTTTTCTATAGGGTTTTGGTTTGGAAATATTGATGGCTAAAAAGTACCTCAATGCCATTTTTTTCCTTCCATTTTTTTACGATTTTTGATTGATGCTTTAGATCATTATCTTCTTGCAAAATCCAATCTATGTTACCTTTACCAAAAAGTTTAGAGGTAGAAGCCAGAAGACCCTGTTTATAAATAGTATACATAAATTTAGCATTAAGGTTTCTTTAAAAGCAAATTAGCTTACCAAATTCAAAAACAGAAAAACATTTCCAAACATGAACTTTTAGCAAATGTTTAATAGAACGAAACACTTTTTTCTACTGAAAAACTGCTAAACCTTTTTTTTGATGTATATAATTGAAATGTACTCTCATCTGTAAAAACAACTTGATTCTAATCAAAATTCTTATGTTTTTTTGCCTATTGCAACCTTTTTTTTTAATGGTCTTCTTTAAGCAAAGGTTTAGAAATTACTAAACTTTTCTCTAGACTTATAAAAAAGTTACTTTACTATTTTTACACTAAGTCCAACACCTCTTTCTTCCATTTTTTCTTGTATTTAAATGGCTATTATATTATGTTTGTTTTTTGCTATCTTTACAATCTTGTCATCTTATTTCGCAGATATTACACAAAATCGTCTTGATCTTTCTGAAGTACTTAAGTCCTGATTTTCATGATATCTTTTAATCCAATAAATAGCTGTAGATTTATTACAATGTACCTGTTTAGCAATAAATCTAAAACTAAACTTTGAATCAGCTGGATGCTCACATAAAAAGATAATTTCATGTCATTTCTCTAAAAAAAGTTCTATTTTTTAAGCGAAAGTTTGATAATCATCTAAATTTTTTTTTTGTATCATTGACACTTATAAATTTACAAGTGATCATGTATTATATTACATTATATTTCTAGAAAATATAATAATTTTAGACAATCTCAGGCAGTCAGATACTTATGACCGCTAATGTATTAGTTATTTTCTCACTATTTATAATATAAATACTTCTTTATTATAGATATGTTAATATCTGAATTAATTGTTATTATTATTAAATTAATATATTTAATTGCATTTTTCATTAGATTCTTATTATTTTCTAATTTTTCCTATTCAATTATTAATATATTTTTTTTCTATTTTATATACATACACATTTTCTTAATATTATCATACAAACTGATACTATCATTCTTCTAAATTCTATTATAATTTAATATTATAAAAAAATATATCAAATCTTTTATTAAAACTATATTGCTATATGTTAATTTTTAATAATATTTTATTATTGCTTATTAAATACTTTTTCTTTTAGTATAAGTTTATATAATTTTAATTAATAAAAATCTGCTATATTATATATGAAGAAAATAAATCCTTAATGATCTATTTATTTAATCATATCCATTAATTTATAACATTTTGCTATCTAAAATTATTATATTTCATATAAGTTTTTTCTATACTTTATTATTTTATTTGCTATTTGTTTATCTTTGTTATTTATTATTTTCTATATATTTATAATATTTATCTAATTATCTTTAATATTTATTTAACAAATATTACTTCTTCTTATAAAATTTTTTATTTTATTGATGAATTTAAGGTAAAATATTTCTATTATGTATATTATGTAAACCTTTTATTTTTATATAATATAATATATTTAAAATACTTTATCAATTTAATTTTTTTAGCTTATTCTTGTCTAAGATCAGCTTATCCATTTAGTAAAATATAAGAAATACTTTTATCATATTTGAAATTCATTTAAGGAAATACTTTTTATTTTAACTATATTATTAGTTAGTTATTACTTTATATACATTCAAGTATCTTATTTATAATAGCTTCTTCATAACATATAGAATTAATTGTATAAATATACTTTATATTATATTTACATTATTTTTATCTTCTTTAGCGCTGTCTTTAATATTTTATTTTTTTGAATCTGAGAAAATAAATAAGCTATTATTCTATTTTTGGATAATGAATTAAGAATAGAATTATTAATTATTATATTTTTGTAGTATTAATTATTTTATTTTAACTATACTAATACTTTGGCTACTCTATAGTAAAACAGTAATTGCAAGGGATCCAAATGATCTCAAATAATTCAAATGACTGGTCATATGTCATTTGATTATTTCAATATTAAATGATAAATGATCTAGTTATTTAAAAATTATATTATGTGATCTTAATAATTATGACTAAAATAATTAATGTAATTTAATAATTTAAACGTTTTCATAAATATTTCACATAATATAAATTTGTAATTTTGATTAGTATATAGAATTTAGCTTGTATTACATTTAAATAACCAAATGACAAATGATCTCAAATGACTAGATCATTTAATGGTCATTCAAAGATTAATTCAAAATTATCAAATGACTTGATCATTTACCATCACTACAATGAAATCTCTGAATAATATTAGATTATTTACTAATTATTTTTGTATTAAAGTATGTTTAATAAAGATAGATGTTTTGAAAAACTATTTGTGAATATTAAGATATCTTGTAAAAAATTATAAAATTTTTTCTGTATTTATTTTATCCTTCTTTAAGTCTATATATGATCTTCTTTTTAAAAACCTAGGATATTAGCATCATTTTATATTGCAGGTTTTGCTATCAAAATTGAGGATATTAGATTTTGCCTGCTATTTGTCTGATATGAATTTGATGTTAGTATATTTAAAGATATTATTTTGATTTTTTTTTTCGAAATCTTTTATTCATTTATTTTTAGGATTTGCATTCTAATGTTAGGAATGTAGCTGTATAATTAAACAAGAATAACCCGCATTTTTTCACTTACATATGTAGAATCAATCATTTTAGCTCAATCGATCAAAGAACAATCAGTATAACCAGGATTTTGATAATTTTCATTATCGAGTTCATATCTTGTGAATATTCGAGTAAATCAATTTATTTATACTTTATTATTATTTTATTTTTGTACATGTCGGATTTTTAGTTCTAGTGACATTTTTTTTTCACTGCCGACCTTTTAATTACTTTATCACGTGAATTTAAAATGGCCTTATCTAGTATATTTTATATTAAATTTATATTAACCGTTTAACCTATTGTGTTTTTTGGGGGGGGGGGACTGAAAAGGTGAACAAAAAATTTTAGAACCAATTGGTTTATTTGTTCGATCCATATGCACTGATAAGTATTAAAGGATGTTTTTCATTTTATAGATGGTTGCACAAAATCAATTCCAAATATAGCAAATTGATAATGATAGTTCTCTCTTTTTAAAGGGAAGTTATTGACTTTTAATAAAAAAACTCACATCCTTTATTAATAAGAAGGAAACATGCAATCCGTAATTAATTCTACTCCAGAGGTTGTCGCTGGTGCTACAGAAGTTGCCATAGGTTTAAGTTCATTAGATACTACAAAAGCTACTCTTGTGGCTGTAGGGACCGTTGGAGAAGCCATTAAACCGTTTATACCATTAATTGCGGCTGTTACAACAATAATTGGAGAAGTTATTAAAATTTATGAAAATGTTGAATATAACAAAAAAATTTGTAATGCTTTGATGGATAGAGTTCAAATAGCTGATGGTGCTATTAAAATTTTAAATAGAAGGAAACAAGAAAATGAAAAAAATTTTCGTAATGAAGATTATTATAAAGCTTTTGTAAAATTTACTGATGTCATGACAAGAATTAAAGATTTTATTAAGGATGTCTCCCAACTACAGGGTTACAGAAAATACATACATTCCGGTTCTATTAAAGATAAGTTTAATAACTTAGTTAACGATTTTGAGATCGTTATGAAAGATTTGAATTTCACTATGACAATTGTCAATGAAGAACAGCGTAAAATTGACCAGCAAGCTCTTTCTGAAGATATAGCCGAAATGACCAGGGTAAGTTATTATATAACATTTGTAACAAAGCTTTACTTTTTATTTTTGCCTTTAAAAAAAAAAACTCAGATAATTTATTATTAATCTTTTTTTTATTCTTTCTTTCTTTTTTTTTAATATAGTTCTTGGAAAGGATTGAAGGTGGTATTACTACTGGTAATAACCAAATTAATACAGTTCTCCAAGAAGTCATATTAATTAAGAATCAAATAGATAGCATTCATGACATTAAAAAAAGTAATCTACCGATACCTGAGTCTATTAAAGCAAACAAAATAGAACCAAATGAGCTTACTGAACCCCTTGGAGGGAAGGCATCTGATCGTCGTGGGAAAGAGGAACCTTATACTTTAAGGAAATGCTTAAAGCAGAGTATAGACGTCGCTTGTATTCCAACTACATTACAAGATGATAATTCCCAGAAAGCTCAAAGGGTTCAAGCTCAACTAACTATTTTAGGAAAACTTCGAGATTCTCCCAACATTTTGAAATTTTATGGACTCTCTTATGTCGATAATCGCCTGGTCAAGGTATTTGAATGGGCCGAACATGGAAATCTACGTGAAGTTTATAATGCATTTGATATCTCTTGGACTGCAAAGGTAAAATTAAGATCTTTTAATTAATTTTTCTTTTTTTTTTAGTTTTAACATTTTAACATTATTCTTAAGGTGAATATTGCTCTTGATATTTGTCGTGGTATCACTTTTTTACATTCCTGTTCCATCCTTCATCACGATATCCGTTGTGCAAACATTATGATGACTGCGCGTTTGGAACCTAAAATTACAAATTTTGAATATGCACGTCTTACGACCGATAGTACCTCTAATCTTACTAATATAACTGAAATTGTGCATTGGCTTGCTCCCGAGAAATTGAGAAACGCTAATAATCAGTTATATAACATGAAATGCGAAGTTTTCAGGTTAGAATATTACAATTATTTATTTCTAATTGTTATTAGGTTAAAATTATTAACCTTTTTTTTTAAAAAAAATAAAAGTTTTGGCATGCTTCTTTGGGAATTGGCATTTGAAAAGATTCCCTACGAACGTTGGGACATGGCTAAAATAAAAGAATATGTTTTGTCTAACAAACGAGAAAAGATTACATTTGGTAAAGAAAATCCTGATATTCAAAACCTCCAAAAAAGTTATGCGAAAATTATCGTTTCCGGTAAGAGATCAATATATAATATATATATAAATATATTTTGTAAAATGAATCTATATAAATTTTTTGACCTCAATTAGCTTGGCAAGATGATCCACAAATTCGAGCTTCATTACAGCAGATTTTCTTGGAATTACATGACTTGTATACAAAATATTGCGCTGCGGGGTACAATGCTTCGCCTGCTCTTAAACCCGATAAAACTTTAGATTTGGATGGAACTAGAGCGATTTCGGTTAGTGATGTAGGAGGGTTAGATTTGCCAGATCTGGATATGGAATTCTCTATTGATGCAATACAAGAAATCATACCACTTGAAGATGGTATTGCAGCTCACAAGAGAAAAGAAACGAATGTAGCATGGGAATGTTTTAATGCACACGCAGATTTAGGTAATACAACAGCCAAGTATTGGAAAGGATATTATTTATGGGAAGGTTATGCTGGTCAAAAAGATCGGGTTGAAGCATCAAAATTATTTAAAGCAGCAGCTGATGACGGATTGGCAGATGCGCAGTTACGATATGCATTTAGTTTAGTTGGAAATCCTGGAACTAAATTTAATAAGAACGTATTTATTGAATATCTTACGAAAGCTGCAGATAATAATAATAGTACGGCTCAATTTAATCTAGGCGATTTATATATTCATGGTAAATTGGGTGTATCCAAAGATGAACTATTGGGCAAGAAATATTTAAAGCTAGCTGCACTATCTAGTCAGCCTAAAGCTATTGAAATCTTACAAAAACTGAACATTAATATTTATAATGATGATTAGATAAGTCAGAAATTTTCGTTTATTTTAACTTAATTTATAGAAAAAATTTTTTTTTGTATTTTTTAATATTTATTTATATAATGTGTATATGATCAGTTTATGTAATATATTCATTATAAACAAATTATTTTAATATTTAAATATAAATAAAAAAAATTTTTTTTTAATCAAAGATTTGGCAATTTAATATTAATATATTACAATGATACAGATCTTAGCAAAATAATGGTGATTAGTTTTTTTTAATATCATAATTGAAAATGATAATAAATTATAAAAATAAATTTTTTTTATATTTTAAAAAAGATAAAAGATTTATATATTTTATTATTTAATTAATATTTGATAAATCTTTCTTTTGCGTTAATATACACTATTTTTAAAAGTATCTAACCAGTTAAAATAAAATTTTATTTATTAAGAATTTTTAAAATAATAAATATTTAGTATTTCAATTCTATATGATATGCTTTTTATAAGTTTAGTATAAGTTTCAAATAAAATTTTTATTATTTTTCTTGTAATATTTCCTAAGTTTACAAAGATTTTTTAGATTTATAGAATGTTTACTACACCTTCATTTAAGTTTATTCTATAAATACTAAGGTTTAGAAATTAAAAAAGCTAATTAAAAAGTACTTTAACCTATTTTTTAATTTTTAAAAATATAAAATCAGAAAAGTTTATATTTTTGTTTATTAAAACTGATCTATGTATTATTATATAAATATAAATATATAAACATAAATGTTAAAATCAGAGATTTATTTAAAAGATTTTAGTTAATACATTTGAATTTAAAAAATTTAAAAAGAGCTTAATTAAAAATTTTTTTAAAGGTAATATATATTTTAATTTTATCTTATATATTATTTATATTAATAATTAACATATATTTAATTTACTTTTAATTTGATAGTTTAAAATAATGTATAAAATTTAAACTAAAAGTTATGTATACAAATTTACTAAAAATAGAAAATTAATGCATATATTACATACAGTATTGGTCACTGGACTGGACTGTTTCAGTGGAATAATATTAGACTGAACCGTCCAATCTAGTGGACTTTAGTTAATTAGAACTGGACTGATATATAAAATTTAGCCAATCAAAATTAAATACATTTTAAATAAAAAATTTTTTTTAATATTATTATACATCTGTATGCTTTTAATATGAGAAAGCATTAACTAACAATTTATATTCAAGTTTTTAATGAAAAAACAAATACTTGTAACAAATTTGCTTTATGTAAAGTATGTATCGATAAAGTTTCTCGTAAATATGCTTATAGTAATAAAATAGTTAACACAAAAAAATGTGTTAAAAGTCATTTATCTAAGTACGAAAATTTTTTTACTATATATGAAAAGGAAAAAGGTTTAGAAATTCTTCAGAATACTGATAGTGAAACAACTAAAGCTCAAAATATTTCAAGCAAAAAACGTAGTAGAACTTTTTTTGAAAATGATAACTTTATTATAAAATTAAGTGAAGATAAATGTGATTCAGATAATGAAAGTGTTATGACATTCAATTCTAATGTTACCAGTAGACTTATACTTCTAATACTACTTTATCAAATAAAATGAGAATTACAGGACCTCTTGATAACTTTGCAATATGAAAATTATCTACAAATCAAGAATGAAAATGGTAATATTTAGTACTTAAAGTTACTATTTCAAATGGATGGAGTTTTCGTTAGGTTAAAAATAAAGATTCTCAGAAAATGTTTCAATTTCTTAATCCAATACTAAAGCTTTCACATAGAAAATGATTAGGAGGAAAAATTTTAGAAAATGCAAGCAAAGATATAATTAAATCAATTGAAAAAAAGGCACAGGCTGATTTAATTGATGTAACATTAACTATCGACAGATGGACAAATGTAGTAAATCAAAATTTAATAGGTAGTGTATTATTACATCTAAAGGTGAAGTTCTTGTATGGAAAGCATATGATATAAGTATTGAGTGAAGCAGAACAGAAGAAGTAAAGAAAAAAATTAAATTTTTAACTAAAAATATTTAAGATGCGGGTATTAAAGTAGTAGCAGTTATTATAGATAGTGCATCACAGTATGCTAGTGTGCAGTATGTAATATGTTAATAAAATTATTTAAATTTTATTTTTTTAAAATTTTTATATTAATTTTTTAATTAAATATTTTATTAGACGCATTCTTCAAATTATTAACCCAAATATTATATATCTCCTATATTTTGCATATCAAGTCAATTTATGTGTAGGGGATATCTTTAAATCTGATACTAGTCTTGTAGCAGTGGCAAAAAATGCTAATAAAATTGCAACTTATTTTACTTCAAAATTGCATACTTATTTTATTGAAAGTTACGAGATAAATAAATGGAACAATATCAAAAATTTGTTAATTTAATTCTACCTAGTGATACTAGATAGAATAGTTATTTTTATTATTTTGCGAGTATTATTAATACAAAAGAAGCACTAAAGATAACATTTATTTTTCAATATTTACAAATTTATTAATTTATTTTATTTATCATTATTTATTATTTAAAAGATATTAGTTGCTAAATACGAGCCATCTGATGATTCAGATGCTTCCACTTCAAGAAAAAATAGAAATAATGAACTTAAACATTCTGTAAATATATATTGACCAATTAATGATGATAATTTTTAACGATCAGTTTGTAATCTTAAATATATGCTTTTGCCTCTTTGTGGATGTCTAAATATACTTTAGTGAGATAAGGCTTATTTATTTGAAGTTCTTTATTCACTTGGATATTTTTATAAGCTTTTTAATAATTATAATAATGATACATTATCTAATTGAATATGCATTCGCCTTGAAAATCACTGGAAAACATGGGAACGACCTTTGTTGATCCTTTTATTTATTCTTCATCCTGATTATCGAATTAACAAATTTAATACAGAACTTCCTAATATGAATTGGGTTGATGTAGGATAATGAGTAATATATTATTATTATATATGGATACAAAAAGAGCTAGCAAGTATTTTACGTGAATTTGATTTATATCAAAATAAATATTATCCTTTTAATGATACAATATGGAAACAATAGAAAGGAGATGTATTACAGTATTGGATTTGGTGTTCTGAAAAAATAAAAGAACTTGGATTTATTGTAAAAAGAATTTTTAGAATTGCGGTTAATGTTATATCAGTTAAAAGATTATGGTCTACGATGGGATTTTTTCATTCTGCACGAAGAAATCGCTTAAATGTAAGTTAATTTAATATCATTATTGAATAATTTTATATGAATTAATGATAATTTTTTAATTAGCATAAAAAAGTACTTTCAATAGCTCAAATTCGTGATGTAATTAATCAAGCACACAGAAATCAAGAACTCAAAACAATAAAAAATATGTATCATTCTAATTCAGTAAGAAATATTGATAATGAAAAAAATAATAATGATAAAAGTAATGAAAATAAAAATCAACAAGATAATGAATCAATTGAAGTGGATTCTGATTTAGATATAATTGAAGATAATGAACAGGTAATAAGAGGTGGAAATTGGGATACAATTTTAACTACATAGAATAAGATGTTAGATGCAGAAGAAAATGTAAAATGTCAAATGGAATATGAAGATATGCTTGAAAATAATAATAATTTTAGTGATGACATAGCTTTAACTTATCTTTTTAACTGAACTCATCCTTAAAGAGATAATAATGCAAATGGGAGTTGGGTTAATTATTTAGTGTTGATTTAGATTCTCCTAAATACTGTGAAAAGCTTTAATTATTTGTTTACACATAAATTCATAAAATAATAAAATGAATCTATAATAAAATAAGCATTGTCAGCTCATGTAATATTAAAATTTTAAAATTAACCAAGAATCCAGGATTTATTATTTATTAATAAAAAAATTTTATATGTAAATCGTAATAATGTAAAAAAAGAGAAGATACATTAAAAAATAACATAAAAAATTTGTTTTATAATATTAGATATAATTCTACTCGAAAAATAAATCATAATTTTCGTCTTGGTTAGTTTTTATGATATTTATAACTTTATGCTGTAATTTTGTTAATTTTGTCATTTTAATTTTTTTTATTTATATTTATTTTTCTGATTATTATTTTACATAGTTTTAATTAATTAGCGTTTTAGTGATTAGCATTTATTTGAGTTAAACATAAATTTAAAAGGTTACCTGATCAGGTGATGTGAACTAAAAATACTAGAAAATTTTATATTTTATTAGACTGAACTGGACTGGACCGGTCCACTGGACTTAATGTTATAGTCCAATTTTCTAAGTGGACTAGTCTAATTAATCAACTAAAATTATATGTAACATATTGGAACTGGACTGAAACTGGACTTATAGTATTGGGCTAGTCCAGTCCAGTTATGTTTTTTTGAACTGGACTTAGTCCAGTGATCAACACTGATTATATTTTTATAAATAATTTATTTATTTTTAATAATTATTTAAGTATGTATGCAACAAAAATTTAATATGTATATTATACACATAAATTTTACACACTAAGTTTAAATGATATCTTTTTTTAAAAATATATATCTCTTAAACTATAAAATTTTATAAGCAATTTTACTTGCTTATTTATTATAAATTTTCTTCTGATTTATTTTTATGAAAAATTAAAATTTTTAAAAAATTTTTTTAAATTAATTTTATAAATATATAATATTATAATAATTTTTATTTTTTAATTATATAATAAATAATTTAAGGTTACTTATAAGCTAAAAATTTTATATTAAAAAATTTATCATTGATCTTTAACAATTTTATTAACTTTTACTTTTAATAATATTAATTATAATAAAATATTATAAAATTTAATATTACATTTTTGTAATTTACTAAAAAAATTTTATGATTTTTATTAATAATAAAGTAATTTAATTAATTTATAAATATATAAATTTTAAAGAAAAATTTAAAAAATTATTTATAATAAATATTTTAAAACTTAATTTT